TTGACGCCGTTCAGGACTCGAGATAAACACTTGCAAGTTTAGTCGGACAGCAACAATAAGATGCTACTTGTCTACTGAATGGTTTGCACTTAACACCGGGCCGGACGAGCCTCCGCCAAGGATGTATTCTTTCTGGCCAACTTCAGAGATTGCGTTACCAATACCAACGGATCTGTAGGTCTTGTGGTCGTTTCCGGCTAGCGTGACATCATCATTTGTATTGTGCCATCGAAGGAGGAATAGGAGAAAGTCAGCAAAATCACAGTGCACAAGAACAATTATGCTGTAACTAGGGCAACCTCATCGGCAAGCCTCCATTCTGTGACGAATGCACGCTATTGCAGGCATCGACGTTGACAACTCGAGGTTGTTGGTGTTTGCCAAGTCCAAAAGAGACGTCTTGGTGCGGGTCAAGGCAAACTTTGGTCATCTGCTTCCAGATCCTAGAGACTGGAAGGGATGGAATGCGAGTGTCGGCTCTTGGCAGTAGACTCTTATTCTTTGGAGAGGAACAAACTTGAGCAATTGTGCATCAATGCGTAAAGATCAGCCCGCATTGTGCTCGCAACTGTTTCTGCGAGTTCTGTTATTGGCGCCAGTGAAGCCATATTAATCGGAAAAAGATGCGACTGTTTGGAATTTCGGCCGTAAGATTTGTCACTACTAATTATGGCATATAAGTAGTGCGAGCCTGACACTCGTGCAATAAAAAAAATTGTAAAGCACCTTTTCATCAGACGACTAGGTAGAAGGGAGTAGTAAAAACATAAACTTGTCGGTGTTTTTTACTATTTAACCGCATCATCTACTTAAAACCCAAATCTGGTACACAAAGTATTCGTGTTTTTATCTCGCATTCTTTCATAAAAAAGGTTTATATTGGCTAATGAATGTCAAGAGTATTGTAACTACGTAGTTTCTCCCCTCTTACTCTTACTCTCTTTATCCAGTCCCAGCAAGTTTCTGCATCTCGCCGGAGCACAGTGACTACGAAAACCAGGAGCTCATCAGTCTGGAGATAGAAGCGAAGCCCCGTTCACTCCTGCAAGGGTCTACTATGCGAGCCCCGCACGGCGATGCATTTTCCGGCCGGCGAATTGATGTCAAAGCTGGCGTCACGAATTCACCTGGCCACAGTTCGAGTCCCGACAGACCTCTCGTGACTGACACCTCCCTTAACTTCAACCATTCGAGCTCCGGTGAAGACTGGATGAGTCCGGCTTACATCGAGTTGGCGGGGAAACCGAAAACCTCGGAGCACAGAAAGTCAGACTTTGACTCAACACAATCTGGACTCGGCTGCAAAGGTTCAGCCAATGAAGACGTCGTCAACAGCATAATGACAAGCATCATCAGCAGCAGCCGCAGTAGCAGCAGGAACAAGCATCTCGCAGCTCATGAGTCCCGTAAAGGCGGTCAAAAGGGTCAGATGAAGCAGTCGCGCAGTCATTTGGGTGGTAGTCGTGCTCCGGCAAGCCTGCTCGAGTTCAGTCAGCCACTGGAGGACGTCTGCCTGCGCGTCGATCCAGTTCGAGACCCCGGCCGACTGGAGCTCGTCTGCCGATTGGCTCGGCCAGAGCCGGCGGCTGTGGTGCGTTGGCTCTTCAACGGACAGCCACGACTGCCGCTCCACCTTCCGGTCACCAAGTTCGACGCCCAGACGGCTCGTCTCACCGCGACCGACCTCCGACCGGAAATGTCCGGTTGGTACTCGGTCGAAGTGAGCACTCCGATCGCGCTGGGCGGGAGCAGACAAAGGGGCCAATCGGCCAGCGGCCTGTCGGGCGGAAGCAGACGACTGGAGTCCGAGGCCGGAGCTGAGGCGTGTAGGGCAATCACCGAGTGCAGAGTTCAAATCGAGGATATCTCAGGGGCTGGTGCGTCTCTAGAGCTGGGTGTGTGTGCGTCTACATGATGATATGATGGCCTTGGGCACCGTGTTGTCATGTAGACTTGTTTGTGGACCGCCACAAAAGTTGTCCTAAAGTCGCCTTTTTTGCACAAATTTACGTGCATTCAATCCTCCCAAATAGACGCATAGTCACATTATTCGTCAAGAATCTATGGATATTTACGAAGACTACTCATTACCAATATAAGTAATGCGGTCGATTGCAATGGCAAATAAATGGCTTTGTCTGCTTTTAACGATACATCCACAACTTTCCGTTCATCCCTATCGGATATGACGACACACCTCAAAAAAAGGGAAGAATCGTTTAATTAATAATCAAGAATATTTTTATAATAACGAGGACTACTCATCACTAATATAAGTAGTTATCGATTATAATTGCAAGTAAAAATATGCTTGCGGGTTCCAAACTTCTATCCATTTGGGTTAATACAGTCCAAAGATAAGTTCTTGGTCATGGACCACTGCTGATCTCAAAAGATATTCACTTCATAGTTGGGATTGCTAACGAGAGAGGCGATTGTAACAGAAAGCTCATCATGAAGGGTAACCGGTAAGGATAGGAATCCAAGTTGTGAGCTACAACCAAAAGGGTATCATCCATGCCTAAAATTTCCCGTTGGGACTAGATACAGAATAGGTGAACTGGAGATTGCGATTTCACGTTTTGCCGTCTATCAACGCAATTGGTTGCTGAGCCATTTCGCTGCAGCCGGCCTGTCCGAAGTAATCCTTCATACTCATTTTGAACAGTGATCTCAACCCTGTTTGGGTCT